GGCCCCCGCCCGGGCCCCCAGCGGTGCCCCGCGCTCCCCAGTGCCGGGCGCTGCCCCAGCTGCACCCTAGTGTCCGGAGCCCCTGGGCCCCAGGGCAGAGCCCGCCGCTCCCCAGGGCTTTAGCCCAGTTCCCCCTGCCCTGGTGGTGGGGCCGGGCAGAGGAGGCGGCTGCCCTGGGGTCCCGGTTGGCATTTCCTGCCAGGCAAAGGCTCCTCCCTAGGCAGGTTCCCCCACGGCTGTTTGACGAGGCTTTGTGCTGCACCCATGGCACGGCCCGATGCCCGGTCACAGCCCAGGTCCCAAGGGCTCCACCAGAAAGAATTCCCTTGCGCCAGGCGCCAGCGGGTATCTGTCTGCCCTCCTGGGCACGTGGCCTAGAGTCTAGACCCTGGGGACCAACAGGAGCCAGCACAGTAACGCACACGGGATCCTGTGCGTTCGCGCCGGAGGACAGCGGTTCCCAATCCCACGTTGCACAGATGTACACTGACAAACGTCCCTACCTCGTGGCGTCAGTGCGACACGACTGCACAGTGCCCTGGAGGCCGGGCGCCCGTGCAGCCGCTCAGGAGAGATTTCAGTGCCGCCCAGCTGACTAGCAGAACGCCCGCAGCCAGGTTTGTGTTTCTACTGGTGGTGCACGTTGGTACAGGAGTTGGTGCACATCACATTTATTCTACACATGGATGGAAAAGATTAGCGGGAACATTGCTGCCCATGCAGTGCACTCTGCATCTGACTCTCTGCACGTCACTGCAGGTGTGTGTGTGGGGAGGGACAGCTGACCCATCTGGCTGGTGTGGGAAAAGCCCGTCCTGAGGAACTGGGATTCAGCAGTCCTAGAGGGGAAGAGGTAATGTTGGTCCAGTCCTTCCCACCTCTGCAGCAGGGAGATAAAGGGTGTGGGGTGAATCCCTAGGGGTTCTCCGGAGCACCACGCCATCCTCCCCTTCCCCCCGACAGAACAACCGGGGGGAATTGGAATCTCCTCCCTTGCAGCGTGGTTTGGGCCTTGGGTTTTGAACATCAGTGAAAGCCCCGCTAGTGAAAACGAGCCTGCAGCTCTCAGTGATTGTGTTCTGCAGACGCTCCTGGCTGGGACGGGGTGGGGTGAGCAGGGGGACACAGCGGGAAGCTGGCCTGGCACCCGGCGTCCGGCTCACTCTGGTGTGATCGGAGAGTAAATGGAATCGCTCCTAGTGACACGCACACAAAGCCTGGGCAGCTCGCGTCAGGGATCATGGGACCCAGGGGAGAGCGAGAACAATATGCAGCCGTCTCTGTCCTTTTGCAGGGGCAGTGCTGACGCTGGCCGGTTCATTCAGTACAGCAGAGCCCCTGCGCTGCTACTTTGGCCTGGGTTCAGGGGTGAGGTGCGGATCCTCCCTGCATTCACGTGGGAAAATGGCCGACTCCGTGGAAACCCAGGGATCGGTTCAATGTGCAGACAGGCCCGGCAGTTCAGGGACACCAGGGGCTGAGTTCCCTCAACTCCTGCTGGCTGGGTCCAGTGGCTCCTCCCACTTGCTGGGGGTGGGGCCTTTAGAAGTGGGTGGGCCCTGCCTGCCCACCTCCTAGTATTTCGGTAAGGCTGCCATGGGCGCTGAGTGGAAGTACTCCGAGTGATGCAGAATCGGGCTTTGCCCATGTAAGAGAAAGAGGCTGCACATTGTAAAACGGAGCTTTTAACTGCCACGAAATTCCAACGGCAACAATTCGTGTTTGCCAGAGAAGGTCCTAAACCCCCCTTCCCCCACACCTCAATAGCTGCACATTCTGACCGTGCGCACAATGGGCAGGGGCAGAACAATGCACTTTTCATCCACCCAGCCATTCGTGTAGCTTCCAAATGCTCTCCTGGCTGATGGGACGTGAATGAATCAGCACAGAAGAGTGTGTGTGCACGTGCGTGTGTGCGTGCATGTGCCCATGCACAAGAGGGTAAATAACATTACAGCAGGAACAAAGGAACTTTATTGCTCAGCCCCTATATAATCAACAGCAAAAACAACGCAAGACGGACAAATAGATCTAGCTCAGACCCTCTTGGTGTAATCAAGGTAACCTTTTGATTTCAGTGGAGATGTGTGTGGAGCCAGCACTAGGTTCTTGGGGCGGAAGTGGGGCGTTACTGTGTCTAGGTCATGAGGGAAATAGTTGTTGCTAGCCCTTGCACGAGGTGAATTCCAGCCAGGCCTGACTCACACAAACAGTGCCGCTGAACTCAATGGGATCTCTATCAAGTTTGCAGGAGATATTTAGGAAGAAGAGAGCATACCAGAGCATCCAAGAAATACTTTATTAGAAATAATTTATTAGAAATTATTATTGCTTAACATTAGAAATACTTATTAGAATACAACAGCAAAAAAAAAAAATCAGGTAGAAGAAAAAAAATGCCACTAATTAAAACGTGGTTGATTTTCATCCTGAGCGAAGGCAGCATTCACCATGTAGTTGTAGTCTGGCCGGTGTGTGTCCTGGTCCAACGAGTCCCTGGACTGGTTCAAAGACAGATTCCTCCTGGGGAATTCCAGTGCGTTTTTCCTGTTATTTCTGTACAGAAAAGTGAACAAAGAGTAAAAAGCTGCAGCCCTGTCCCTCCTCTGGAGATCAGACATGACATCACATGGTGCCTTGAGCTATCTGAGCCCATGCTGGTTTGAGGCATGGGAGCCATGTGAACGCCCTGAGAGCCGACCCACCGTGACATGGACACCCCGTACCTTGACTTGGCTAGACACACAGCCAGGGCGAT